TGACTAAAGTGTTTACAATCACAATTGCATTGAATAACCGGCGAGTTGACGATCAGCGCCGCGCTGCGGATTAGTTCCGCCGGTACCCCATAAAAATGTGACGCTTTGATGTATGATCTGATTTTAAGTCGATAGCGAAGACCAGATGGCGTACCAATAGCCGAGCGAGTCTAGGGAAGCCGTTCGGCTCCCGCTCCCCAAGCTCTACGGTTTGGTAGGTGCGCCCGTGGCACCCGTTCCGTAGGGTAGTGACAGGTTGCGTGGATAGCGCCCGCGATAGGTAGATACGAAGTGACAGACAAATAACACGAACTCAGAAATGGAATACTACTCTCCGCTATTTCTATTGCCAACCAAAATACACTCTCTACTACAGCCTATACAGAAAACTAGACACACGACTACACACGCTTACAAAGAGATAACTGATGAACAATAGGCCGTACCTTAGATAGTGGTACTGCGGCTGCTCGCGATGACGCTCGATCGGGTGAGAGACGGCAGGCAGCAGATACGGACGGGGGATGCTTGCGGGTACGGAAGAAAGCGAGGATACGGATATCTCGGCAGGCGGGGAAACGGACGAGTATGTCTAGGAGTGGGTGGAGGAGCTTTTAGAAAGAGGACCGTGTGGCAGAAAGGATGAGAGCCGAGTGTCCCTCTACCTCCGAGTTTTGCGTCAACAAATCCGGTCCGTTACTATACCGCAGGTGCATTTCGGCGCGATCACCAATATGCGTCTGTTGTGATTTATGGTGACGCGCCGTACATGCCGTGCTGCGAACTAATATAACCTATCCATATAACCTATCTGTGCAGCCGGCTTCCCTACACTTGCCCCGGGGTCCCAAGACGTTAGGAGCCGCACATTTGTGGCGACTAACGGTTGCGCCATCACGTGCGGAAGGCAGTGATGGTGCAACGTTGTCGTGGTGGCCCGGGGCGGGGAAACGCGCGCGAAGGTGCGCGGCTCGAACACGCGCGAGATTCGGCAGAACTACAGATAATACCCAATACATAAATAATTGCAGTCCCATATATATATAATATATAGATAATTACAGTTACATTTATATACTAATTACAGTTACATTTATATATTAATTACAGTTACATTTATATATCACCTTTACATTTACATTACATTTACATTACATTTACACGTTACATGTAGCTATTCGCGTTGCCACCGCTGGCCCCGGCCAAACCCGCGATCCCTCGGGTCCATCCACGCGCCGTCCATCCTGACCCTCCACATTTCGCCCCTGCCCACGCCCCTGCCCATGCCGGGGGGGGAGGCGTCCGGCGACCCGTACCAGTCGCCGGCCCCGACCGACGTTCTCCCACTCCCAATGCCAGTCGTGGTGGAGTGGTTGGACTGGCAGTTGGTTGTGCTGGTTGGGCTCGGGTGGTTGTGGGGCGGCTGGCAGGTCGTGGTGGACGTGGTCAACGGCGTGTGGGTCGACTGGCAGGTCCTCTCTCTCTCCGTGTGGGTCGGCGTCCTGCCAGTCGTCGTTGTGGTCGGGTGTCGGGGGCCTGCCGTATGGTGCGTGGTGGGGGATGTCCCAATCGCCGATTGGGATGAGCCCCGGCAGGTCCACCCTATTGTCGCCGAGT